GCCCCATCTAACATCAATTTGATTGCCTCACAACTAACGACCCTCCTCAAAAACGTGCACGGAGGCTCAATTTCCCTACTCAGATTGCGGTTAAGTGACTTGTGCAGTTCATTCACCACTTCCAGAAACTGATGTTCCATGTAGTTGTGGTTCTTCGCAAAACAAGTGTCAATCGCTCCTCTACCAGACACAAGGAAAGTCTTGAATGAAGAGTGAGATGACTCAACTCTATTCGAGATCGTGTTACCAAGATGAAACACATGGTTCGTGTAGCACTTTGCCCACATTGTCTGATGAGGCAACCACTCACCTCGCACGTAGTCGACCATTTTTATGTTCTTCTGTGTCCAAACCCTCTCAAACTCATTAATCTTTTGAAGAAAACCCTCCTGAGTCCAACTCCATGCAGCTTTGTCGAAATATTTCTTCCATACCGCTTGTGCTACCTCTTTTTGAAATTCCACCCAGTAATTGCTCAAACTTTTGCTTCACACAGTTGTTGACGTGCCATAAACATAGTAGGTGGACAGTATGTGGGAGAGGGAAGACCACAGGAATAGAAGCAAGCAGACCACCTTCTTTGTCTGTCACAATGACATTCGGAAACGTATCACCGAGCAACCCTTTAATATATCGCAGCAGCCACTCATATGTTTCCTTTGTTTCCTGCTTAATAATTGCACATGCAATGTTGAAATTCTTCTTGACTGGAGTAACCCCAATAATCTCAACCCATGGCCAGCCACACCTATTCGTCTTGTAGGTCGAGTCAATGAGGATGACGTACGACCATGCATGCAACATCTGAATGGACGTCGGGTGCGCAAAAAAAAGATTAGTGAGCACATTATTAGAGTCCTTTTGCAAACAGATATGGTACCCACGTTGTTCAGCTCCGTGAAGCACAAACTGTATCGCATCCATTTCACCCATCTCATCCAATCTTGTCTTGTAATTTCTGTTGTACATCTGTTTGATATCATGATTCACACCCCCTTCAGTATTGAGTGTCGTCTTCTGCTGATTTGGTCTCACCCCCGCCTTCCTCATTAATCTTAACCTCTCTTTTTCAGCCTCACTAAACTGTTTGTTGTGTCGGTGATGTTCTGGATACAACACTTTTTCATGGTTGTGAAACCCTCTATTAGCTCCAGTTTCACGACTTGTCACTCCCACTATGACCCATGTGTTTGGACCATCCTTTTGCCATACTTCCTTAATACATATCTGAAACTGGCAACCAGTACCCTTCGAACTAATATTCCCACGCGTCTCCTTTGTAGGGTCTGGTTTATAAGACTTAACGATCCTACTGCTTCTGTCGCAATACATACAGAGGGCAGTAACATGATGTAGTTCAGCAGTATTCGGTTTCCATGCTCCTCTAACAATAAAGAACCCACACTCCTGAGCGATTGCTTTTGCAGCTAACTCAGCTAACTTCACACTTGCATAATGGATCCCATTATCAAATTCTGCTGTGTAATCATGATCGTCCGGTAACCACTCTGACATTTTTCCTACAATTACAATATAACACATCAATATTCCTGTGAACCTAAACGCTAATTTCAACTCTTAACCGCTAAATTCAACTCATAAACTCTAAATTCAACTCCTAAACGCTAATTTCAAGTCTTAACCGCTAAATTCAACTCCTAAACGCTAAATTCAACTCCTAAAATCGAATTTTCCGACGATTTGCAACGAACAAAGGGTGGGCCGAAAATTTCCGGCGGCCGGAACCTGGCCGGGCCGAAAATTTCGGGCAAGCCGGAACCTGGCCGGGCCGAAAATATTTTTCGGCTCAGCCTGGCTCCGGCCACCGATTTCCGTCGGCTCGGCTAGGTTCCGGCCGCCGGAAATTTTCGGCCCACCCTCTGTTCGTTGCAAATCGTCGGAAAAATTGTTCGAAACTACAAAAAAATTGACGCACCTGCTTAGTGATGATTCATGGATGCGTGTCCGCAGTTTACGTCGAGGATGGGCTTTCCCTATGGTTTTCTGGCGACTTTTCCGGCGAGCGTCGATTTTTTCTGATTCAATACGTTTTCTGAAAGTTGAATATGTTGTATATTGTGAAACTTCTTAACCAAAGATGTACATATATACTTTTTTTTTTGTTGGCTGCAAATAGCAATTTTTTTTGCGGCAAATAGCAAGCCCCTATGTTATAGAGCTTAAGCCCATTGTATGCTTATGTTGGACGTGTAGGTTTTGGACTTAGAGACTGCCGAGACTTTGCCCTTCCTCATAGAACTCCGCTAGTCTTATTATGGACGTAGGGTTGCGGTGTGTAGGCATATAAATATGCCATGTACGTATGTGTTGGGTAATTGAATAAGAAGAACAACTACTTCGGTCGTGGACTAGTCTCGTTCTCCCTAAACGAGAAAACCACGTAAACTCTGTGTCGATTATCTTTCTATTTCGATCTCTCGGGTTGATTAACATGGTATCAGAGCCTCTCCTGATGGAATCAGATCACATCGCAACCCGTCTCAACTCCAAGAACTACGCATTATGGGAATTTCAGTTTTGAATCTTTGTTGAAGGTCATGGCATGTTCGGCCTTCTGGATGGCTCCTCGAAAAAGCCCAATGTTCCGCCGTCAACTGATCAGGAGCTCGCTGCCTGGCTCAAGAACGATGCTAAGGTGAAGTCCTGGATTTTGAAATATGTGGATCCGTCTATAGTCCTCGGCTTACGGCTCCTGTCTACAGCTGCCGAGATGTGGAAGTCTCTTTCCGATACGTACGGCAGTATTAGCACCGCCCGCCAATTTGAGCTGGAGGTGGAATTGGCGAATATCCAGCAAGGAGATCTAGATATCGCATCCTACTTTAATGAAGCCCGCCTTCTTTGGACGGAACAAGACCTACTCACTGCTGCTCTTGTTTCCGGCCCTACATCTGCTGAAGTCCAGCGTGAGAGGCAAAAGATAAGGCTGCTCCAATTTCTAGCTCGCCTCCGTCCCGATTATGAAGCTGTGCGATCTACTCTGCTCAACCGTGAAGATCTCAAGCTGGAGGGTGTTCTTGCCACTCTCGTTCGTGAAAAAACGAGGACTCAAGCTGCTCTCAACACTAGGCCTGGTCCTGGTGAAACGTCCGTGTTCTCTGCCGCTAAAGGTACTCCTCGTGGTCATTCGTCTCCAGCTGCTGGGGGAAATGGCTCGAACTCTTCCTCTGCCGACGTTTTTGCCGCGTATCGCCCACCGAATCAGCGCCGTGACGTGGAGTTTCACCACTGCCACGAAAAGGGTCATACGCAGAAATATTGTCGCATACGAAACTTCTATGTCTGGTGCAAAAAATCGGGACATATTATTCCCGATTGTCGGTCCTCACAAAATCGCATGAATGGCGGTGGGAATCCCGGGACTGGTGGCGGCAACAACTCCGCACCTGGCCAGCCTCATACCTGGCCTGCTGCTCCCCCGGCTCGTCCCGCTTATGCGGCAAAAGCTGCTGTTCTGGCTGCCGAAGCAATCACTGTGACGCCTGCTGCTCTAGAGGAGATGGTCAATAAAGCCATTGCCACAGCTTTTGCAAATCTTCAGGCTTCAGGTAAAGTTCCAACTTGGATTCTTGACTCGGCATGCTTTAACCATATGACCAGTAATGCGTCTATTCTTTCTGATGTCCGTCCCATTTAGAATCTTTCCCTCCAAGTTACGAATGGTGATATGATGCGTGTGACTACTAAGGGTGATGTTCATGGATCTGAAGTTGTTTTACCTGATACTCTGCATGTGCCTCAACTTGTCCCTAACCTTGTTTCTGTTGGACAATTGACTGATAGTGGGTGTCGGGTTGTCTTCGCACCTTCTGGGTGCTCTGTATAGGACCCAAAGACGGGGCGGGAGATAGGCAGAGGTAGCAAAAGGGGTCGGATTTTTCACCTGGACAAGCTTCAGGACCCCGCGGCAGCATCATCATCGGTCTCGTCGTCTGTTTCATCCCCTCATTCGGTGTCTAGGGTCTTTCCGTCGGTCTATTCTTGTCATTCTCATGATACTTTTCGGCTTTGGGACTCCCGCTTGGGTCATCCCCACACTAGTAGGCTGATTGTTATGTTTAAACAAGAATTGTTTGGTAAATCCATTGACGTTGATAGCTCTTTTGATATGGCATGCACGAGTTGTGTGGAGGCTAAGACTACTAGTATTTCCTTTCCATCTAGCCATTTCATCTCATTCATACTGATCTGTGGGGATATAGCACTATCACTTCTCGTCATGGATACAAATATTTTGCCTTGTTTATCGATCATGCCACTCGGTATACCTGGGTTTACTTCCTGCGTCTTAAATCTGACATCTTACCTGTTGCTACTGAATTTTTTCAAATGATTAAGACCCAGTTTGACAAACCTATTCGTGTTATCCGATCCGATCCTGGGGAAAATTTACTGCATGCAATGAACAAAGTGAAGAAACACTTCAGAATCGTACGACTGATGAAATCATAAAAATAATTTTTTTCGATGGAATATCTTAATATATCTCATATATATTTTGCATGATAAATATATTTTAATTTTTTTTAGAATATGAAAACACGTCTTGAAACACAGATTATAATTTTTTCACGTTACTTGAGATGAATTTCTGATTATGGATCAAATTGTTTGTTGATGTGTGTGTCGTTATATGACCATTTTGAATAGATCATCTACACTACACTACCATATGCATCTTTTACAATTTGGGCCTGCCACATGACATCACCAACACATGCAATTGCAAGTGGGAAGGTCAACTCCCGAAGCACCCACAAAAATATTGATTGGGAAGGTCAACTTTGGTGATGGCTAAAGTTGCGAGGAAGTATTTCATTAGTTAATTAGTCTTGCCAGAACAGAGATCCCTCTGAACTACTGCGACATAAAACAGAGCTGCTCTGTTCTGCTCTCTCCTAAACATAAGCAAGCTAACATATTGGTGAATTAGCTACAGCAATTGTGACGATATCTAGCTAACAATTACACAGATATATATGGACAGTGCGGAGATGTTGAACAAACTCCCAAAAAAGGAGGTGTTTTGGAATGCAATGGAGATGCAGCAGATAGAAGGATTCTGGTTCGCAGAGCAGTATGTGGAATCCATGGCGGCATTCAGGTCAGAATTCCAGCCGCGAAGCGATGACATTCTCTTGACATCCTTCCCGAAAACAGGAGCAACCTGGCTCATGGCTCTCTGCCACAACATCCTCCACATCGAAGAAGAAGACATTCTGACGGAGATGAACCCGCACGACGTCGTTCCCACGGTCGACGCCCTTTACCTTGCGGATCAAGTCCAGCACGTTGTGCTCCATTCCACCACCACCCGATTGCTCCACACTCATTTGCCTTACAGCTGCTTGCCGGAGGCCGTGAGGAACTCCGGGTGCAAGTTCGTGCACGTGGCTCGCAACCCGAAGGACACGTTGGTGTCCATGTGGCATTTCTTGAACAAGATCCTGAGTGGCGAGCCCGCTGGCCCGTTCCCGATTGAGAGAGCCGTGGAGAGCTTCTGCAGCGGGGTTCTGCCTTTCGGGCCTTTTTACGAGCACGTGGTGGGCTACTGGGAAGAGAGCAAGAAGAGGCCGGACAACGTCTTGTTTCTCAGGTACGAGGAGCTGTGCAGAGACCCCAAACAGCAGGTGAGGAAGCTTGCTTCTTTTTTAGGGAATTCGTTCGACGCAACGGCGAGTGGAGATGATGATGAGGAGGAGGTGGTGATGGTGATGGAGAAAGTGTTATGGCGTAGCAGTTTGGGTAGGCTCAAAGAATTGGAGGTTAACAAGAATGGTGTATGGGAGGCAGGTCAACTACCAAATTCCCACTTCTTCAGGAAAGGAACTGTGGGGGATTGGAAGAACTACTTGACTCCCCAGATGGCTGAGCGCATCGACCAACTCACACAGTTGAAGTTGCAGGGAACCGGACTTTCTCTTGACGATTTCTAATGTATGATTCTAAGAGAATGTGGACACAAGATTACTGGATTCAGGCTTTCTTTTTGGGTGACTTTAGCAACCATACGTCACCTTGCTGGTTATCTTATTTTATGCCCTACCTGTCTTGTGTTGAATTCGGAGTTTCATGGTTTCTCTGCCAAATAATTTGCCTTTTTCCGTTTTGACACCATGGCTTTCTTTTATTTAAACCGTCGGATGCTCCTACGGAGAGCCATCCTCTAAAATTTGTGCGGAGGACAATACCAAAATTCCATAATATTGGAGGCTATCTCTCTACCTCGAAGAAGAGATCATGAAGCTAACAATGGCAGACGGTGACGAAGCAGCCACAGGAAGGGCGAGAAACAACGACGTCATGCTCTAAAAAAAATGTTGCCGATCGAATAAATTCTTAGTAAAAACACGTTGCGTCGATGACAAATGTGTCAGCCTCAGCTAAGCATATCCTATTTTTGTTCGATAAATCTCTTGTGCTGTTAAATTGTAGAGCTACTGTTCCGTCCAAAATCTTCCCTGTTTATAAAGACACCCTTTAAATTGGAATGACAAACTGAAGTTGCAAATATATGTAATCAACTTAATATCAGCAATGTTCTAACGAATATATGAAAAAAGTTAATACAAAGTTAAAAATGCCATTATTTGATGGTGGGGCACAAAGTTACTACCGTCAAAAGTTTAGGAAAATCACAAAATGTACAATTTCATTTTTTTTATGTAGACCAAGGCTGACCAAACCGCTCTTCGGTTGTTGCGGGCTTCACTACAATCGGATACCCGAGCGTTAAGTTTCATCTGTAGGAAGTTCTCGACGTATATTGGAGGAAAATCATTGGAGTCTATGGCGATATAGCTAAATCGCTTCAATCTGCAGCGATTAACCTAAAATCACACTACAAGAAAACCTAACTATAAAGGCAAATAATTAGAGACAATTATTGTATTAGTCTTTACAGCAAAATTTTAGGGGCAAAAATATTGTTTATCTCCGTAGGCGAAATTATTTGTCTCTGTTCCATAAAAGTCTAGTATAATTTATATAACATAAAGTAGTAACTTTAGAGGCATTTATCCTATTTGCTCCTTGTTATATTACTATGTATCTTGATCTTGATCCTCTGCAGCAGCCCTACGTAGCCCAATCATGAATGCAACCGTTTCATTTTCTTAACACAATTAGACTTTTGATTTTGGACACAATAATACTACCAGACTACACTTATGAGGGGAAAATATGCTCACTGTAAGATTACAAGGTAAGCCAATCACAATCAGGCAGTCATGAATACTACTACTGTTGCATTTTCTTATTACAACTGGCCGGTACTCTTCAGGTCGAACTTTCAGCCGAGAAGGCCAAAAAGACGACCAGTGGCAGGAAAGAAGAACAAGGACAGGGAAACTGCAAAAAGACAGCAGCTGGAAGTGCTGCAAAAATCCACACAGACAAAAACCGCTGGACGCCTGGAGTTTCCAGATGCTGTCCGGCACGCCTTGAGGGGACAAAGCAAACGAACACAGCCGGCCGTCCAAACAAAACAGGGAGCACAGGAAGGAAACAACAACCATAAACAGAAGCTGCAGGCCCAAGGAGAGCAGCGGATCCAGTGACTAAGGGGTGCTTAGTCACTTGACTAAGCCCCTCACAGCCCTTAGATCTGGACACTTCAATCCAATGGTTAAAAATTGGGAAGGGCTATTTAATTAATGACAGGGGTAGTTTGGGTATTATGGAAAATTACGAAGTATACAAACCGGATTTACAATCAGTACAAACCATACAAATATACGAACAGTACAAACTAGAGCGACAAAACATACAAATATATTTACAAACATTACAAACGTATGAACTGTACAAACAATACAAACTAGACCGACAAACAATACAAACCATACAAAAAGAAAAAACAACCGGGTTGACTTTGGAGGCTCCATCCCTATATAGAGGGGCTCCTTCCCAAAGTCAACCCGAGTGTTTTTTAGACATACAAACAGTACGAACATGGTGAACAAAAATGACAAACTAGACCGACAATCCATACGAACGGGAAAAAACACCCGGGTTGACTTTGGAGGCTCCATCCCCTTAGTCACCTGATCTTGGCCCCAAGTATAAGTAGCCTTCACAATTTGAGCCGGCCACATGACATGACGACGAACACAAATTGGTGACCAAGTATTTCACTAGTCTGCCAGAAGAACACAGATGACCCCTCTGTTATAATTGCGTCATAAAACAGACCTGCTAGCTCTACATCTCTCCTATAGCAAAGCTAACAGTTACACAGATATGGCTAATAGTCAGGAGACGATGATGAACAAACTTCCATCAAAGGAGGTGTTTTGGGGTGCCACCGAGGTTCACCAGATAGAAGGATTCTAGTTCGCAGAGAGGTACCTGGAATCCATGGTGGCATTCAGGTCAGAGTTCCAGCCGCGAAGCGACGACATTCTCTTGACATCCTTCCCCAAAACAGGAGCAACGTGGCTCATGGCTCTACTGCCACAACATCCTCCACCTCGAAGAAGACGAAGACATCCTGACGAAGATGAGCCCGCACGACGTCGTTCCCTCGCTCGACGTCGTTTACCTTGCGGATCAAGTCCAACATGCTCTGCTCGATTCGGGTCGCACCACCGGCCGATTGCTTCACACTCATTTGCCTTACAGTTGCTTGTCGGAGGCCGTGAGGAACTCCGGGTGCAAGTTCGTGCACGTGGCGCGGAACCCAAAGGACATGTTGGGTTTTCATGGTATCAGAGCCTCTAGAACTCTAACGAGTCAATCTTACCTTTCCTTCTTTCTTCCCGTTCTCGTCTCTTCCTTCTTCTTTCTTCAAAGCCAAAATGGCCACTAGTTCATCCTCTGTTTCTTCTTCCTCTGCTTCCGGCGAATCCACTTCGCTGCCGGTTCCCACCATCTCCTTGCCAGCCAATCCACAGCTTACTGTCAAGCTTACCCCAACAAATTACTTGTTGTGGCATGCCCAGATCACTCCACTCCTTCGCTGTCATCAGTTGATGGGCCATGTCGACGGTTCTCTTGCTACTCCACCACAAATCGTCAATGGCCAGTCCAACCCCGCCTACTAGTCGTGGTATGTACTTGACCAGTATGTGCTAACTTGGATCAATCTTTCCCTCTCCGAGGCTGTTCTGCCCAACGTCATCAACAAAGCTACCGCTTTCGACGCTTGGTCTGCGCTGGCTACCATTTACGAGTCCGGCTCTCACATTCAGATTCGACATCTCAGCAAAGCGCTTCAGCATATCCGACGTGGTGATGCATCTATCCACGATTATCTTCAGGATGCAAAGGCCAAAGCGGATCAATTGGTGGTCGTGGGAAAGGCAGTCCCCGTGGCCATTTTTACACTAACAATGCTTCTGTTTCCTCTTTTGGCAGACCACATCCAGCTGGTGGGGTACTTGGGCCTCGGCCCAATACCTTAGTGTGTCACAATTGTGGGGGTCGTGGACACATCAAACCCCAATGTCCCAGCCCAACACAACCTCCTTCCTCGACCCATACAGCCCACTACACCACCTCTGCACTTGTCCAAAGCTCGGCCCATTCTTCTGCAGGCCCACACACCATGTTTTCATCTTCCCCAGCCCAGTCTTTTAATCCATCTCAATGGTTGCTTGACTTAGGAACAAATCATCATCTCACATCGGACTTAGACAATCTTGCCCATTACTCGGAATATAATGGGACTGATCAAGTCACTTTTGGCAATGGTAACTCTCTTCTAATATCTCGTCTAGGTTCTTCCATTACTTCTTTATCCGATACTTCTATTTCATTGGATAATATTCTTCATGTGCGTCATGCTCCGTACAATCTGCTCTCGATCAGTTCACTTACTCGTTCTAATCCCATTTCTATTGAATTTTTTGACTATGTTTTTCTCATCAAGGATCGACACACGGGTCGTGAACTTCATCGAGGCTATGCATTGGACGGTCTCTACTCTCTTCCTCTTATTATCTCTCGCAGTCTTGCTCCTGTTGCTTGTGCGGCATCCTTTGACACTTGGCATCGTCGTCTTGGTCATGCACATGAACGGGCTGTCAAACATCTTCTTCATCAACAACAAATAAAATTTACCCCTTCAAATTCTTCTCTGTGTCATGGTTGTGCTATTAGTAAGATTCACAAACTACCTTTTTCTCCATCCACATTTCATGCCAATGCCCTCTTGAACTCGTTTGTAGTGATGTATGGGGCCCCGCACCTATTTTGTCTTACGATGAGCAATCTTATTACATTCTTTGCTACGATCATTACATCAAATTTTCTTGGATCTATTTTATCCGTTACAAATCCCAATTGCTCAATGTCTTTATTCAATTTCGTTAATTGGTTGAAAAGTATTTTGGTCTTCCCATCAAGACATTTCAATCTGATTGGGGAGGTGAATATCAGGCACTGTCTGCCTATCTCTCTAAAAATGGAATTGCTCATCGTTCTTCCTGTCCCTATACTCCTGAACAAAACGGTTGTGCTGAACGCAAACATCGGCATATTGTTAATAATGGTCTCGCTCTTCTCCATCACTCTAGTGTTCCCCTTAAGTACTGGTCTCTTGCATTCGACACTGCGTGTTATCTCATCAATCGCACTCCTACTCCGCTTCTCAACCATGACTCTCCCTTTCAATTCCTCGTTCACCGTTCTCCTGACATTTCTAATCTTCGTGTCTTTGGGTGTCTCTGCTATCCTTGGCTTCGACCACTCACCGAGAACAAATTGTCTCCTCGTTCTGTTCCCTGTGTCTTTTTAGGATACAGCAAACTCCACAAGGGTTACTGTTGCCTCCATATTCCCACCGGCCGGATTTATGTCAGTCGACACGTCTTGTTCGATGAAACTTGTTTCCCATTTGCAACTTTGACCACTTCCTCACCAACCCACTTGCCCTCCCTCACTACCTCGACCCAGCCCTTTCTCCTGCCCATACCCTCCTCCCTGCCCAGTCCCCTTCCTTCCCAGCCCATTACTCTTATTCCCATTCCTGAAGACACAGCTCCATCGGCCCCAATTATTCCTACTACAGTCCATCAACCTTCCACGGGTCCGCTCTCCCCACAGCCCACTGTTTCATTCCCGTCTCCCAACACTTCTCCTTCACCCGACCCCTTAACCCGCTCTCTTCCACCCGAATCAGTTCTACCCACATCGTCCTCCTCCCCAACTCCTCCACGGCCGCTCCTACAGTATCAGCGCCGCCGTCCCATTACTCGCCTCCCTGTACTCCCGTCCAATCCCCCAAATCCCATCCCCTTACTTCCCTCCCCGGATTTGTCCACTCGCCCTCCTCGTACTCCCCTTCCTCCTCAACGCCCACTACCAAAGCGGCCACCATTCACCACTTCCCCTCGTCCCCTCACTATTATCAATCCCACCACTTCCATCCACCCCATGGTCACTCGTATCAAACCGGCAACCTAAAGCCTCACAATCTGATTTCCCAATTGCACATTGATGATACCCCCACGACTGTGATGCAAGCTCTCAAGAATCCCACTGGCGCTCGGCCATGGCCGACGAAGTCACCGCTCAGCTTCGAAATCACACATGGGATTTTGTTTCGCGGCCGCCGAACTGCAATCTTCTCTCAAATAAGTGGGTCTACCGCACTAAGCTCCATCCCGACGGCCACCTTGACCGCCGCCGCGCACGCCTCGTTGCTCGTGGTTTCAAGCAAATACCGGGTCTGGATTTTCAGCAGACGTACAGTCTGGATTTGAAGCTTGCGGGGGCGTGAAGAGGAGCTTGCTCCTGAAGTTCGTCACTTTCTGTTAGTTGTTGATAGTGGAACGTTGCCCACTATTGATCGTTCCTTAATTCACTCATTATGTTCCTTGTATGCCGCAGCACTCTACTGTTAATGTACTATAAATCAATTGTTGGAATAATAGAAAATCAAGTCTTGGGTTTTCAGTTCTGCCTTTCGGGCCCTTTTACGAACACGTGGTGGGCTACTGGGAAGAGAGCAAGAAGCGGCCGGACAAGGTGTTGTTTCTCAAGTACGAGGAGCTGCGTCGAAACCCCAAAGATCAAGTGAGGAAGCTGGTTTCATTTCTGCGGAAGCCGTTTGGCACAACGACGGCGACCGATGGAGATAATGATGAGGTAGTGGTGGAGAAAGTGTTGTGGCGTAGTAGCTTCGGTAGGCTCAAGGAGTTGGAAGTTAACAAGAATGGTGTACTGGAGATAGGCAAGATACCAAATGTCAATGTCTTCAGGCAATGAACTGTGAGAGATTGAAACAACTACTTGACTTCCCAAATGGCTAAACGCATCGACCAATTCACACCGTTGAAGTTGAAGGGAACCGGGCTTTTTCTTGATGGTTTCTAATGTACGAGTCTAAGAGATTCTGGATAGAAGATTACTGGTTTCAGGCTTTTTTTTATCTTTGGGTGACTTTAGCACCACTTAGTCACTTTGCTGGTTATCTTATTTCATGGCCTACCGGTCTTTTATTGAATTTGAATTTCCCTTTTGTGTTCGTTGTTTCTGCCATATAATTTACCTTTTCTCCCCTTTTGACACTATGGCTTTCAGTTGGGTTTTCTATATATGTTCGAAGTAGAGGGCGGTAGGATGACAACAAGTTGGATCGGAGACGGATAGTAGTTCGGGATTGCCCCATACTCACACTGTCACATATAAATCAAGTACAAAATCAAACCCATACTCATAAATGGTTAGGTTTCCAGTATCCATGAATTATCTCTTTTTGGAACTTCAACCAAGAATAGCATGCAAGTTCTGAGAACCCATAAGCAAGGTCAGTAGGCAGACAATATTAACGAATAAAATTGAACAGATTAGGAAACTAGGGTTCTGATGTGCCTAGAGTCACTACAACCAGCAGGAAACTAGGATTCTGTTTCTGGAAGAGCTGCTGGAAAATTCCAGAAATCCATAGAAAAAGTAGGGGGTCTAGTGGATGCCTCTCCGATAAGGGAGCAGGACTTTGCCTGCGAATCCACTCCAAGAAAACAAATAAAGAAGATTCAATATCTCAACTCCATCTGCCAAATTCTGTAGAAAACCCTCCTTTTACAGGAGTCACAAGCTGAGAATGCAAGGGACAGAGACGCAGGCAATCTCAAGGGCAAGCGCTCAAATCATCGGTATCATTACTACACTGTCCATGCTTTGGCGGGTCAATTACACGGGATTCAAGCTAGCATCTGAACGTAGAAGAGAGCAAAAAACACTAGCTACCAATCTCCATTGGAATGCCCACAGAACATTCGGTTTCATGTATTTCATCATTAGAACGGGGATACTAGTGGATCAAGTGGCAGACTTATCAGCCCAGATGCAGCAGCGGAAGAAGAAAAGAATGAAATATCAGTATCAAGGTTAAGGCAAGGAATTCAACCCCTTTCCGGGATCATAAGGGCACCAATGATTCATCTATTCTATCGTGATTCATTATTCAACGAGACTCACAGTTACTTAGGAGGGTTAAACTCCAATGTTGTCAGATGCATATACATACACATACATTCCCATGCTTAATGCTGAAAATTCATTGGAATAAGATCAGAAGGTTCCGTCTCTATATGTCAGAGCTATTTCAACACTACATAGCTGGAGATTCACTTCCTTTTCGTCCAGGATACTATCTAAATTCTGGAGCAATAACTTCAAGTGCCAAAACTTCACATTCCTAATTCACTATGAACTATAAGTAGGGCCTAACCTCCAAACTTAACAGATCAACTATTCATGCCGAGTGCTTTTCTTATTTTTAGCGAAATGCCATGTGCTCTTCCCTGCATAATTCAATTACTGAACAGCGACCAATGTTCTCCACTTAGAACTATCTCAACCTTCTGATTAAGTCCTTCCATTTCCAAGGAAATGAGAAACTTGATCACTAAAATGAGAAGAAACTAGTATCTAAATTCTAGAGCAGTAACTTCAAGTGCCGAAATGTCACATTCCTAACTCGCTATGAACTATAGGTAGGCCGTACCTGCAAACTTAACAGATCAGCTATTCATGCCATGTGCTCTTGCTTGCATAATTCAATTACTAAACAGCCACCAAAGTTCTTCACTCAGAAGTCAGAACTCATAGTTAAGATATATCACCCTTCTGATTAAGTCCTTCCATGGAAATGAGCAACTTGATCACTACAATGAGAAGAAACTAGCCGAAAGAATCCCTTCATAATCACAGCTTATGACGCAAACAGAGGAATCCATGTGTTTCCCCTCCTACAACTAAAACATAGATATAACTTTCAAAGTGCGCAAAATCAAGTCACAGATTCATAGCCACAAGAAAAAGCACACAGCTTTATTTTGAGCTCCATAACAAAATGTGCACATTCCTCATTAGCAAAGATCAAAACCCAAAAAGGGTTCCAAACTTACGAACAGAGCAAACTCGGGAAAAAACCTAATTAGCATAGATCGATTATTTCAGATGAGCTTGAAGGGAAGGGGCCAAGGAGTGGACCTGGGGAGCTCATTTTTGTCCTTAATCCGCTCAATTTTCTTGTCCTTCTTCGGCCTTGAGTTCCCGTACGAGCCGATGAATATCTTCCCTTTCTTTGTCTTCTTGTCTCCTCGGCCGCACTGAATCGGGAACCCTAGCACAGAATAGGGGATGGACGATGCTGAAGAAGAAGAAGACGGTGACAGTGACGAAAATGAAAACTGATGCTGAGTCACCGCCGCCAGAGTCCGCCTCGCTGCCCCGCCGCACCGCTGCATCGCCATCGCCATCGCCATCGCCATCGCCATTGATCGTTCTCGTTTCGGAGCAGAGGCTACTGACTAGTGACTGAACTATGAAGTAAGATGGAGACTTGAGCAAGAGACTGTAGTTGGATCGGTGGCCTGAACTGAAAAACTTGGGCCGAGCTTTTACCTATTTGAGCCCACCGAATAGATGGATAATAATTTCCAGTAATTATACAATTTAACGAACGGCCGATGGGATTGTCCGATGGTGATTATGTGGTGGTGATGGATATGATTGCCCCTGGTTTTGATGTGGCTCCGAATGAAACACGACCGCCAAGCCGCTACTTCATTACATTTCTTTCCTCGGTTGACACTTCGAAACCCAGAGGCCAAACTCCCCGCCATTTTTGGAGGTAGTTGCGAGCTTGGTACCATTAAGAAAAAATGGATATTTGTGGCAGAGTTGCAGCCTTTTCATCTCTAACTTCAACTCACTCAATTGCTCCATCCTTCGGCACTCCTCGACCCGTCTCTGTCAGTATTTTCGCTGTTCGTTGGTCTCTTTCTTCTGGGTTGGATTTGCTTTACTATCCTCTCTGATGAACTTCTTTTTTTTTTTTTTTCTGTTTCTGGGTCTGCAGTTGCGGGGTACGATGAGATTAAGTGTGTGGTGTGCTTCTGATCAAACTGGCAAGGTTCTCTTCTTCTTCCTGCTCGGAAAATTCTCTGACTTGTTAGATAGATAAGGAATAATCATGCCCAGATGGGAATTCTTTCGATAGAGTTCATTAATGTGTAACCCATTTCGCCAAAGTTACCAAATTCATGTGGCCTTTTGATATAAAGGATCAGATCAAGGTTTAAGGTTTAGGGAGTTAGTTCTGGGGGTGTGGAGGGAAGAATCAATAATTAGCAATGTGGCTCGAAGGATGATACATTACTGTATATGGTTTTCATAGAAGTTAATCACTAGGGATTGTGTAGTTGCTGATCTCGCGTCTTGTTGGCAAATTAGATGACTGTGTCAGTGACGGGAGCTACTGGTTTCATTGGTAGGAGATTGGTGCAAAGGCTGCAAGGAGGTATACGGGTGTAGTTTATTGCTTACAAGATAACATGTATTTCATATTTAATTGTTGATGCCAAGAGCCTGTTATGTACGCAGATAACCATAGCGTTCATGTCTTGACTCGGTCAAGATCTCGAGCTGAGTTAATATTTCCTGGTAAGAAGGTAATCATTATTTTTGTAGTCTTGCTTCATTAACGTTTGTGATCGATGAACTCAAGAGCTATGGCTGCATGATAAAATTTGCAGCATGCATGAATTTTGCCTCCTTTTTGCGTTATTAGCCAGGGAGTTTCCAGGAATCGTGATTGCTGAGGAGGTGAAGTGGAAAGATTCCATTCAAAGCTCCAATGCTGTTGTCAATTTGGCTGGATTGCCTATCAGTACAAGATGGTCCCCTGAGGTTTGTTCTGCAGTCTGATTGTGCTAATGGAATGCAACGGCCGATACCATCTGTCTGTTAGGAATGTGAATGAACATAAAATACTCTATGATTAGACTGGCGGGTTGGCAAGCATTTTCTTTTTCTTTTTTCGCAAGCTGCAACTCTCTGTTGAGCATATATACTTATTCCTTAGCTTGTTGCAGATCAAGAAAGAGATTAAAGATAGCAGAATTAGGGTCACCTCAAAGGTGAGAATTTGTGTTTTCTTCTATTTCAGAAAGTGTTTTGGCCCAGACATGTGACTAGGGATTCTAACTTTCATTATAATTTTGATTTTCTTATCTCAAGGTTGTAGATTTAATCAACAAGTCACCACAAGAAGCTCAACCTGCTGTTCTCGTTAGCGCTACTGCAGTTGGTTACTATGGTTTGTACCCAAAGCCACATCTTGCCGCATAGCATATGGAGGATGACTTACCTGCATATGTGAATGTTGATGGTTTACATTGTGAATCTTTTATATACACTGAAGTTCCTTCCCTCATTTTTGGTTGTTGCTGCCGTCCAACTGAAATGCTCAGGTACTAGTGAAACACAGATTTTTGATGAGAGCAGCCCATCAGGAAGTGATTATTTGGCAGAGGTAAACCACATTGTTTGGCGAGCCAAGTCTCCCATAACTTCCTTTTTTTTTTTTTTTTTGTTACTTGACCTTAGTCATCCACACTCTTTACGAATGCAATGTCTTCAATTTGTCATCTGGTAGAGTTGTGTAAAAGGTGCATGTAAACATTTTATCTTCTACTTGTTCACCTCTTTGTGAGCAGGTGTGTAGAGAATGGGAAGCAACAGCGTTCACGGTAAATAAGGATGTCAGATTAGCTCTTGTCCGCATCGGTGTTGTTTTGGGAAAAGATGGTGGCGCTTTGGGTATAATCTGACTCCTCTGCATCTAGTTTCAACATTTTTCTTCTTCTTTTTTTTACCCGATCTGGCAAACAAATCTCCAAAATAAGTGTAACCCTTTGAATCATTTGCAGCTAAGATGATCCCTATGTTCAAGATGTTTGCTGGTGGACCTTTGGGCTCCGGACAACAATGGTATGTTAAAAGTATTAGGACAATAAACAGAACGTTTTCGGAGCTGATGCTGTCAAATGTTGGAAGACTTTCTATTTGTTGATGCTAATCCCGACACTTGCAGGTTTTCCTGGATTCACTTGGACGACATTGTCAACCTAATATACGAAGCTCTAGTAAATCCATCTTACAAAGGTACTCTCCTCTTGATGGCTAGCAACCTCGTTCTCCATTTTGTTTCTAAATTTCACCGACTTGTGTTCTGAATTCTGATGACCGGAACATTCAGGTGTCATAAATGGAACTGCACCGAATCCAGTACGATTGGCAGAGATGTGCAACCAGCTGGGAGATGTACTAGGTCGGCCATCATGGCTTCCTGTACCCGATTTCGCTCTCAAGGCTGTCCTCGGAGAAGGCGCCACTGTGGTAAATAGAATCTATCATGCCACCCTTCCGTTGTCTGTGCATTTTCGTGCGTCGAATCATTTCAATTTCTTCTTTCCCTGCAGGTGCTGGAAGGGCAAAGGGTAGTTCCTGCAAAGGCCAAGGAGCTGGGTTTCAGATTCAAGTACCCCTACGTGAAAGATGCCCTTAAGACCATCCTGTAATGAGGAGAATACGAGCAGATTTGTGGCACCATTCTGTTGATTTTATTCCCTTCAAGTAGAGGATGAATCTATTCATTTCATTTCTGTCAATAGAGGCATATAAATTTAGTGACAGTTTTAGTCCACATATGTCCTTCTCTGCATGTTCCCTATGTGTACTATATACTAATTGATGAACATTTCATCAACAATTCTAATGGTACCGGAGCAACTGGATGACGAATTTGAAGTGGTTATAAGTTCGAATTTTGTCGCTCGTCGATCTATCATTACTACGCTCTTAATGTAAAGCTAGTATAGATGCTAAATACAAATATTATAGTTGCTTATATAGAGTGGTTTTTATTGACTAACTACTACTCTAACGTCTAGTAATCAGTATAAGAAGGTTTAGTTAACTACAAGTAAAGAAAATAACTTGGAGGACTAAACTGTACAGCCTTGAAAGTAAAGGAACCAGATTAAAAAAATTGAACTCACGGCAAAATATTTTGCCTCCATTGTCTCAAACCTCAATCCATTTTCAAACTTGCAGAGCTCGACAACTCTCTCCAGTTTCCGCTTCCCATCCTCCAATCTGCTGCCGATGGAAGCGCCGTCGCTGACTCTGGTAGTTCTGGAGGGCCCTCGCAAAGGCGAGACATTCGATTTCCGCCCTGGATCCACCGTCCGAATCGGCCGAGTCGTCCGGGGAAACACTTTCGCCATCAAAGACGCCGGCATTTCATCCAAACACCTCGCAATCAAATCGGAATCTGGGAAATGGACACTCGAGGACCTCGGCTCCTCCAACGGTACGACTCTCAACTCCTCCCAACTCCCTCCTCTTCAACAGCACGACCTCCGCGACGGCGACGAGATCAAGCTCGGAGAGCTCACTTCCATCATGGTCCGACTCCGAGTCGAGAACCAAGATTCATCGCCGCCGCAACTTCGAGGCGGGAGGAAGCAGGTTGCTGCTTCGGTTCAAATCGCACAACCGGAAGCTAGGATTTCGGCGGAGGCTGAAAACTTGTCCCCAAGCGTTCCGAAAAGAGGGAGGCAAAGGAAAGCTAGGGTTCCGGTATCTCAAAACACGGAGCCGCCTCTGCCGGGCGTTGGTAGGGTTACCCGTAGTAAGAAGAATGAACCAGAGCGCTCGACTTCTGATTGCGTCGAGTCAGGGCTTCCAGAGAAAAAGAGGAATGCGCCAACAAGAAAGGGAAGGAAAAAGGAGCCAGCACCGCCGCCGGAGAATGATAATGCTGTTGCTACAGAAATCAAGGATGGCCAGGAATTAAGGGCGAGTTTAGCCAATGAAGCTCGAGAAGGAGATGGTAGGATTAGTGTGGTGGAAATCAAGCCGAGTTCAGCCAGTGAAGCTCAAGAAGGTGATGCTAACAGGGTTAGTGCGGCGGAAATCAAGGGAAATGAGGATTTAAGGCAGAACTTAGCTGAAGAAGCTCGACAAGCAGATGGTTGTGAAGCTGTTGTGGCAGAAACGGAGGAGTTGATTCAGCAGTTGGATTCAGATGAACAACAATGTGAGGCTCCTACCAAGGATGGGCCCAATTCAAATGAGTACAGAGGGCAAAAGCGTGAGGAGCCTGACCTGGAGAAGATGACTCTTAGGGACTGGTTCCGATATATGGAAGTGCGATTGACCAAAGAAACTGTTGAGGCTTCTGAGAAGATGATCGATGAAATGAGAAAGAAAGCTGTGCGAGTGCAAGAGTACATGATTGAGCAGAAGGCGCGGAACAAAGCATCTTGACCATGAGCTAGTACAGTCGGAGGCTGGCTGCAGAGCAAGGTAACTGGCTTTGGCATTTCTATTGTTCTATAGGGTAGCTTGATTGAGGAAATGCCTAACTATAATCTGTGGATTCGTTTCTACTTGGCCTCTGCTTAGTTCCTTTTGTAGCTCAATTCCATGTTTGTAGTATAATAATCGAGAATGGTTCTCTATATTTTTGCAATGTTCAAGAAGACATTAGGCGCTATCTAGGCGAAGAGGCACCGCCCACCGCCCAGGCCGATTAGTCGTTGCCTAGGCGAGATTAAACGTTGAAAAAAAATATGATAGATAAGCCATATTCTACAAAAATCCAAGTCACCATATCATTATTCATTCATTCATATACACATACAACCATTTTCCACAATCCCAAACATCCCAAGTCGCCAACCATGAGGAGGGATCTCACTGCTGGTCGATGAGGGGGAGCGATTGGTCGAATGGAAATGGGAAATAGAATAGGGTTTGAGATTTTCACAAAAAGGCTACAGTTTCCCTCTTTATTAGTTGTTTTGGGCGTCGCCCACCAGAGTGAAAACTCGCCTCCGAGTGCCTAGGTGCCTAGATCAATCGCCCAGGGCTAGACGGGACGATTTCCTCCTGCCCAGCTATTAATAGCGCCTAGGCGAGAGATTAATCGCGTCTTCTTGAACACTGTATTTTTGTCACCGTTCTCTAGAGTGGATGGAATCCTAACTTGTGGAGTCTGTGAAACTGTAAAGGAGATCGAATTGATGAGCTAAATGGGTATGTTACTTAATGATAAAATTACTGAGAACAATGAGAAAGAATCGATGAACTTCTCTGGTAAACTGTTGTTGGTTAATTAGACTACTTAAGATGTCATAATGCAGGCAGACGATTGATGCAAACACTGCAGAAGTCTATACTGTCGCAATTACTTTCCATAATATTGCCATAGATAGCCGGCATTGTCACCTGGGTCTCTGATTGTTCTCCGGTTATAGCCGGAATAACTGATGCTACGAGTTAGTGTGTCGGATTCTGGTGGTATCTAACCTGATGGATTATGGTACAGTAACATGGTGCTTCTCCATGCTACCAATACATTTGACATAGTCTAAGTTTGTATTGTGTATGGAGTTTAGTATGTGATTGAGGTTACACAACAACTGAATGTTTCAGGTTATCAAGATTATGCACAATGCAATCATGCTGCTCAAACAACTTGGCGAACAACCATTTCTGCAAGCGGATACACTGAGAGCCATTGTTTCCACCGGCACCGAATTCGCCCGAATGGAAGTCACCGAGCTCATCTCGTCAAGAAGGCATATACAACATCAACTTCCGAGTTCCGGCTCGACTTCTGCCTCTCGTAGTAGTTTACAGACACCTCTACCAAACACTTCCCTGCAGATAGGATAGGAGCAATGTGCAAAATATACGGTCCCTGCTTTTCGTACCACTAGGGCACAGTAGGCATAATTCATCCACCAACATGTAGCGTTAGGTGCAGAATTTAGTTATGAGTTTGGTGTAGAACTTGGCCACAGACACAAACCAATGGGTTTTGTTTTCATCAATAGAAACGGAAGGGAGTCTTTGCTTTGCTCCAACTTCATGCCGCAATAAAAGTTCACATATGCATATACATACAACCAAAAAAATTTGTTAGCATATGCACGTAAATCACGAGAAGGAACTAACAAGTCCGAATTTTCACAACTACCAAGCTTTGTTTGCATGTCTTTAGCCAAATTTGTCTTCGTATTCAACCATTACGACAACTATTTTGAAACCTTCAAACACCAAACCAAAGGAAACTCTCTCCCTTGTTATCCACTTTCATACATCAATAAGTACCAAAAACTCTTTGCCAAAAAAAAAAGTACCAAATACTCGAACTTATAAATTTAAACCGAAAATTCACAAGAACAGGTCACTTTTGTCTTCTCGAAATTATACGAGCTAGTTGTTGACGTTGATATGTGATTCGGGGTACTTCTCCATAGAAATGATGTTGTAAAACTTTGGAGGTAACAGGGTAACAGTTCAATGGTGATTGATTTTCAAACGTCGTCTTCAGAGGAAGTAGAACTTTGTCTCGACTTAAAGTAATTCTCGTAGTTTCTCTTTCGTTTTGATTTCGATAGGTTCGTTTTGTTTTCTTTTATTGCGTGAGGTTCATTATTTGACGGTTCTAATGATCATTCGTGGCCTTATAGTCTTCTGAATGTACGAGAGTTGTCATTAACGATTGACCTGAATAACGTCTAACACGATTAATTGGAAGTTAAATAAAAGTTTGGATTTAGCAACTAACATGAGAATTCAGAACCTTCCTGCCTACATTAGGGTACATTAGGAATACGAGAAGACCAAAAAAAACAGTTTCACTAAACTCTAAAAGCCTAAACTTCCTGTCCTAGTTATACTTCCATAAGTCATAACTAAGTAACTAACTTAGTCCTATAATTCTATTCGTTCCAGAGACTAATTAACCCAGCCCATAAACCTAAACCAAACCGAATCAAACCCCGGTTCATTTTCCTTCCTAATTTTGTATTAGCCCGGAACTTTCTACAGTAAAACCCTTCAAAAACCCGGAACCACTCGGGTCAAGTCCGACCCGGCGGCCGGTTCTGTCGCTGTCGCCGACTCTTCCACCTGTTCCTTTTTCTTCCGCATCTCCAAGACTTTCCGGTGGCTGTTGGAATGCACCTCGCTGGAAAACGTCGGGCTTCCTGCCGGCCGGTACTCCGGCAGGAGGCGGCCGGATTTGAACCGGACCCCACAAGCGTTGCACAGCGTTTTCGCCCCATTCGGGCCGCTCCGCCACTGCGGCGTCTTCTGGATCCCGCAGTGGCTGCACCGCCGCTGCTGCTGGGTCGGGTTCGGGTTCGAACCCGACTCACCCGCCGTTGCTGGCAGCCTCTTCTTCTGTTTCTTCCTGAGCGGCTCGCCGGGGCTGCGAGGGAAGAGCGACGAAATTGAGGGATGGATTTGAAGAGAGTTTAGGTACGGCGCCGAAGAGGCGGCGGAGGACGATGACGTCGGCGAGTAGGTGAGTGAGGAAGAGTCGGAAATCACCGACGACCCGTTGAACCAGCTTGCACCGGCGGTTCTGGCTCGTTTGGTCCTCGTTCTCGCCGGGACCCGGGAAGTGAGGAAAGGCGGAGGTGGGAGAGTGGTGAAAACTGGCGTCTTCGCCGGCGTTGGTTTGAATTCGAAGGGCTTCTCCGCGGAAACGGCGGCGAATAGGGCGGCGGCCTCCGATGAAGAGGAGGAATCGTCGACGAATTGGGAAACCCATTCCAGTTCCGCTAAATCCTCGGCCTGCGGAAAAAACCCATGAATTTTCCCCCCAATTAGACTCGAAATGGTGAAGGAATTCCCATTAAAGACTCAAATCTTTTTATCGAAATTATATAAAAAAAACAGGGGAGAAGTGGGGAAAAGTAAAGTTACATGAACGGGAAGGTCGCTGGAGAGAAGGGAATCGGAGAAACTGGCCGACGAGGAGTTGGAAACCGAAACAGAGTCCTGTTCTTCTTCCTCCTCCTCTTCAAGTCTCTCCGCAGGCTCTTCCTCGTCCTTAAACCCGCCATTGGAGAAATCCAAGAAACAGTCGACGGAGAAATCCTCTGCAGAACTGGGGTTCAAGCACAGGAAATCTTCAAACCCCAGATCTTGCTGCAGCTGGTTGTTTTGAGGGTACTTCACAGAAGCCATAACTTCTCTCCTCAAGCTCGATTTCAAGGCTCTGTCTTCCATGCAGTAGAATTCCATTTCTGAAATTTCACCCACAAAAACCAACCCACACCAAATTGAACAACAGCAACAACAAAAGAAACAGAGGAAACCGAAGAAGCTGCAGAGGAGGAGAATAAAAAGAGGTGAGAGAGAGAGAGATGGAAGGGTACCTGAAAAAGACGGAGGAAGCGACTGAATTGAGGGGAAGAGGAAGAAGTTCATGAAAAGGAAGAAACTTTAATAAAAAAAAGCTCTTTAATCAGAATTCTAATGGCGTTGGGCTCCTGTGTGTGTTGTTATTGTTGGCTGGCTTCCCTTTCTTCTCCCTTTTTTTTTATCCCTGTCCTTGTTTTCTTGCTTCTGTTGCGTTGAGTCTATCACTCTATCTATCTCCTTTCTTTCGGATTTTGGGTTTTATATTTTTTACACTAAATTGGATTAAATGGTAATTTTTTCTGGGTTTTGGAAATAATTAAGGTCAAATTTGGAGGTAATCAATCTAACGTCTGACTAACTGTTGGAAGGTCGCTCGTTGGCTTCTTCCACGGTTCCACCAGCGGTTTACTTTTCCCCGCGGTTTTCATTTGGTGACATATGGACGGATTTCATTCAAACTCCCCGGATTTGGTTGCCTTAAATATTAAGAGAAAGGTGAAAACTTAAAACAAATTCATGGATTCTTCCCGTGGAGCTGAGATTTGGTATTATCACGCGGAAAAATGCAAATCTTCCCAACCATCTGATTTACCTGCTTGATTGATGGCGGGATTGCACATGTTATTTCTTTATTGTACCAAATTTCACAACTATTTCAAACATCTATTTGATTTGATATACCCGACTTAAAATAATACGATTTGTTTCAGTAGATATTATATTTCATTGCACAACGGGTAAAATTGTAAAGTTGGAGTAACATGTTTCATACTTTCATCTCGCACCAACCTTGTGTGCCATTGTAGTTAGTCATGTTGGCTTGATCTATTCTGTCGAACTTATATAACACAATGAAGCATATTTATTCGTAGTTTAGGTTTCACTAAATCATATTTAAACGTAATGCGACTATCATTACTAACTGATGAAACCTCTTCCTTGATAAATCTAATTTTTGTGTGACCCCGAAATCCATTGACTTGATCGATCTCTTTATAAAATGTATCACGAGCTAAGCCTTGATTTTCCCAATGCCAAAAAGTGTTGACAAAGATTGTAAAAACAGAGGATATAACGTTGGCGGAGAGAGGTTCACAATTACA